TGTGTTTGAGGAATCTAATTGTAATTTCTTAGATTTTAATTTAGTCGGTGAGGCAAATAGGTAATTTAATAAAATTCCTAGTGACTTACTTGCAATTTCATAAATTCAATATATCACAATTTGGTTCATGCGTAAAATTTGTAAATCTAACAAAAATTAAAAAATGCATAATAATGTACAGTACAATGCACGACTTAACGTATGTATATGCACATTAAAAGTTTTTTTGTTTTTGTTTTTCAACGATAGGCAATCTCATAAATAGATAAACAAATACAAATAGTCTGAGGAGCTCACTAGCTCATACAAGTCCAGAATACACAACCAGAGAACCACTCCAACGGTGGCCTAGAAACACAAATACCTCTAGCAACTGAAGGCGAATACGAAGATTCGACACCTGCAGAGCAATAGACACAACAACCATAAAACCCCAACAAGAAGAAAAAACAGAAACAAACACACACGAGGCCACTGAACATAAGAACCTAGCTTCGATAATCCAAACCAAACTAACCAAAATCTATATACTGAAATTCTTCCCATTCCCTAATTGCCGAACGTACAATGAAATGCTCCGGCATCTAGGTCTTTTAGAATACCCAAAGAGTTTGCGCCTTCCAAAGCCACCAGAGAATATACATTGAAAGTTGTATCCTGACTTCAGAAACCGGCGATCGGTCCAACTCAGAGGTCCACCACCACCAACATTTGACATCATTCTCACTACTAGCTGGCATATCCCAAGAAAGCAGGGCAAGTTTCCACGCAGCTTTTGCTCTTTGACACTAAAAAACAAATGGCCCACAGATTCACCCATTTCACCACAGCAATGACAAATATAATCGACTTCCATACCCCACTTTTGTAAATTTAATTCCACTGGAAGACAATTATTAATGCATTTCCACAAAAAGTGATTAAGCTTGTTTTTTACCTTAAGCTACCACAATCTCTGTCTGGCTTTTTTGTCTTTCTGTATAGAAGACCTGCTGCTAGGATTGTCAAGCTTGAAAACTTTCTGCAAGATGGCCTCAGAATAGGCTGAGGCAACTGAGAAGGAGCCTTTGGAATCTCCCAGCCAAATCCATCTGTCTCGGGTATCTGGCTTTAACGCTGTTATCGCAAGGATTACTTTACTGGAATCACGGGTGAAGATGGTTTGAATTAAATCTTTGTTCCAGTTCCTGCCATTATCAGAAAATAATTCATGTACCCAAATCAGCTGCATATTCACCACATTTGCATTCAAAGAAGGAATCCCTATCCTCAGCCCAGGTACCCATGGATCAGATAAAATTCTTGTGTTGAGGCCATCATGAATCTCTCTTCGAAAACCTTGCCTGTAAATAGAAAGGACCCTGACCCATGAACTACATAACCAAGAGGAAGAGCTAGTACTTTTTGCTTCCAGCACATTGCCAGAGGGAAAATATTTTTCTTTGAGAACTTCTAGTCATCAAGCTGTTTGGTTGAGTGAGTAACCGCCAGATCTGCTTTAATATCAGGGAATCATTAAAAACTCGAATATTTTTGAACCCTAGGCCACCTTATACTTTTGGTACTGTAACCTTATGCCATGCAACCCAATGGATCCCTTTCTGCTGATCCATGCCCTTAGACCACCATAAATTTGCACTAAGCTATTCAATCTCCTTGCAAATGCGAACAGGTAAACAGAAACACAACATAACAAAAATTGGTAGTGCATTTATAACTGCTTTCAGAAGTACCTCTTTCCCTTCTGCAGATAAGAAAGAGTTCTTCCAACTGATGAGTCTTTTCTTCACCGACTCAAAACAAAAGCAAACTATTAGAATAATATAAGTTGTTTCATAGTATTGTTATTGTATTCTTATGTATTAGTCATTGTGACTAGCACTTTATGTTAAGAGTTGTTATAGCATTTTAGGTTAAAAGGCTGTACATATAAATAGCCTTAGGGTTGTGACAACAAATACACTTTTTCATTTTTCTTCATTCCGCAGCTTTTCTCATTCAGAGACTTTTGTTCCTCATTTGTTCAATGTTAATCTTTTGTCTTTGATTTCATCATGAAATCTGATATGGTATCATTCGCCAGTTAAACTTTGATCGATTTCTTCTTTTTCCGCTGCTCCTACGTTTTTTTTAGTTCGGTTTCTGTTTTCGCGTTGAAAATCGAAACCCTAGACATCGGATCTACTCCGATCTGATCTGTTTTGCTCCGATCTACTCCGATATGCTCACAATCGTCTTCTACAACAACATGACGACTCCTACACCGTCATCTACTGCGATTTCTCCTTCTGATGATCCGTCTACACCTTACTATCTCCATGCATCGGACAATCCAGGAGCATTGATCGTCGCCGAGACCTTTAATGGCGATAACTACACATCCTGGTCACGCGCCGTCGCAATGGCACTCAACGTCAAAAATAAGGGAGGATTCATTGATGGTGTACAATCGTTCCCCCTTCTTTAACTAATACTGTCTCTTTTATGTCCTGGCTGCGTGCGAATAATCTTGTTTTGTCATGGTTATTGAACTCAATTTGAAAAGATATTCGTCAGTCATTGTTGTACTTCACTTCTGTTCATGAGGTCTGGGAAGAATTGCGCAATAGATATGCACTTAGCACTGGTCCTAGGGTTTTCCAAATTGAGAAATCATTGAGCACGATCGATCAGGGTGCATCATCATTACACAATATTATAATGCATTTAAGGCACTTTGGGATGAATATGTGACCTATCGGCCTATTGTTAGATGCACATGTGGTGCTTTTTCTACTTGTACTTGTAACATTTTTGACTCTATGTCCACTCTCCAACACCAAGACTCAGTCATGAAATTCCTCATTGGCCTAAATGATTCATATTCCACTTTAAGAAGCCATTTTCTCCTCACAATTCCACTACCTACTCTATCCAAAGTGTACTCCTTACTACTTCAAGAAGAATCCCAAAGAAACTTACACAACAATACCACTCCTGTTGATCCTATGGCTATGTTACTGAAAACTGGATATTCTCAGCCCAAACACTTTAAAACTACTCTTCCCAAAGATAAGAAAAGATCCAAATGCTCCCACTGTGGCTACAATGGCCATACTGCTGATAAATGTTTTCAACTCATTGGCTATCCACCCAATTGGAATGGACCAAAAGGCCCCAGACCCCCACCAAATTCTACTGGTCCACCCAATCCTTCAGCCAATATTCTCCATACTAACATCACTGGTCAACCTACTAGCACTTCTTCCATGACTGATGATCTCTTTGCTGAGTTTTTAGAATTCAAAAAGAATAAAGAAGTGCATACTGTTGAGCATACTCCTGTGGTGGCCTCTGCTTTTCCAGACATTCAGGGCTCCCAAGGTAAAACCTCTATTTATTCTTGCTTATCTTCCAGAAAGTTGCATAAAAACACATGGATATTGGATACAGAAGCTACAAATCATATGATATGTGATGTTTCATTTTACTGTTCTAATCCTTCTGTTGCAAAAATTCAAATTAATCTTCCCAATGGTCAATTGACAGAAGCATGTTCCATAGGACAAGTTAATCTTTCTAATGACATCATTCTGAAAGATGCTTTATATGTTCCTAATTTCAAGTTTAATCTCATATCTGTCTCTAAGCTTGTTTCTTCCAATAATTATGTTATCAAATTCTTGTCATCTCATTGCATATTACAGGATCTCAACACGCACAAAATGATTGGTTTTGCTGAACTTAAGGATGGTCTCTACCACCTTTCTTTAGGCAACCAGTCATCTGCTCATGTTGTTAATACTGTTTCTAGCAATGTCACTAAAAACCTGAATGTATCTTCTGATTTACCTGTAACAACAATTTCTTCTTGCATTTCCAATACCAAACTCTGGCATCACAGACTTGGCCACTTGTCATACTCTAGACTTTCTAAACTGCCTATTTCTGTGAATCACATGACTTCTGATGCAAATTTCCCTTGTGATATCTGTCATTATGCTAGACAAAAGAAACTGAGTTTTACAAATAGTTTGTCTACTGCATCATCTTCATTTGATATCATTCATTGTGACATATGGGGACCATACAACATACCTTCATATAATGGTCACAAATATTTCTTAACCATTGTTGATGACTTAAGTAGGGTAACTTGGATTTATCCCCTCATTCATAAATCTGATACTAGCACTTGCATTCAACAGTTTTACAACATGGTTTTTACTCAATTCAACAAAAAGATCAAAACCCTCAGATCAGATAATGGCACTGAGTTTTTCTTGCATGATTTTTATAAAGATAAAGGCATACTGCATCAAAGAAGTTGTGTTGAAACACCCCAACAAAATGGTAGGGTAGAAAGAAAACACCAACACCTTCTTCAAGTTGCCAGAGCATTAATGTTCCATGCAAATTTGCCTAAACATTTTTGGACAGATTGTGTCTCTACTGCTGCTCATATCATTAACAGAGTTCCAACCCCTCTCTTAAATGATATTTCTCCTTTTGAAAAATTGTTTGACAGAAAACCTACCTATGACCATTTCAAAGTTATAGGTTGTTTATGTTATGCTTCAACTCTTCAAGCTCATAGATCAAAATTTTCACCAAGAGCCTCAAAATGCATACTGCTTGGATATCCTTTAGGTTATAAAGGTTACAAACTTTATAACTTAGATACAAAGCAAATATTAATATCCAGGCATGTTCAATTTTATGAAAATATCTTACCTTTACAGACAATAATCCTGCATCTCCCTCAGTCTTATTTCCTACACCTCAACCTCATATTCACACTGATTCCCCAAGTACCATAACTCTACCAAAACCTACCACAACAAGTAATACTCAGAATACAATCAGCCTCTCAACCTTAAATCCCCCTACTATCAACAACTCACCATCACTTCCTCAACTACTACTCAGAATAACCCCACCTCAAACTCTCCAAA